ACACACACCTGACAACCGTGGGGCCACCAGCCCCCGGTTCCCACCATCCATCACTCACTCCCACTCGGCTCGGGGGGGCTGGAGGACTCTGATTTCTCAGATATCTGCAGGTTTGCTGCTGCTCTGCTCTGCTCCAGCTGCTGTTCCCGGGAAACGTTGACTCCATTAGTGTGAGTTCCTCCCCGTCTCCAGGAGCTGGTTCTGTATTCAGCCCTGGTGCACGGAGGCATGATGAGAGGAGGGGGAGTTTCAGCCAATCAGGACAGATGGAGGCAGAGAACAACCAGAATGATCTGGAAATGTTTGTTTCTGTAATGTGTGAGTTTAATTCAACTGGTCCGTCCACAGATCTGCTCTGACTCTGGGACCAGGTCTGATCCAGTGTGGCCTGTTTGAACCCAGCTCTGTATCCAGTATTCAGTCTGTTGAGCTTTAACCTGAGAGCCCAGACCCATTTTTCCCTGAATAAAACTGAACAACTGAACCCATTTATCACATTCTTTTTTTTCCTGGAGCCACCACAAAGTTTCACAGATCTTTGATTTCAAGAAGTTCAACTGGCCCTTTCATAATGAAAGTATTTTGGGTTTAAATGGTTGTTACTCCTGTGGGTTCGGATGGGTCAGCCGTGAGGGTCAGCTGACCTTAACCTCAGGGTTTTCCAATCAGAATGCCTCTCCAGTCATTCAGCCCTGAGAATTTCCTTAAATGTAATTTCATTTAATTTATTTTGAAACATGATATGCTTCATAAACAAGCATCAAAGTTTCAAAAAGCAGTAGGATGAAGCATTATCTTATTAAGCCCTACCCCTCAGTTACATGAGTCGTGGTGGTAAAGGACAATTATTTACAATAAGACAAACAGTATACCAACTTTTTATATATTACTCTTTTTTGTATTCATCAAAAATACTTTTCTTATATTCTTTTTTTGAATTGCTGGATGCTTTTACATTGTTTAATGTTTTCACTCCGCTAACTGATAAACTAAAGCTTCTTTTTGTTGTTCCAACATACTTAGTTTTGAAATGTAATTTTCCTCTTAGATTCCAACACACATTTAAAACCAACCAATAGGAACTCTAACAGTCCACAGCAGCATTGACTGAGCTGAAGGAACCGTGTTTAGATCGTTTTCTGAGTTCCAGCTGCTGCGTTTCCCATGTCAGCGTCTCCTCCTGCTC